TCCCAAAATAATTATAACTAAAGATTTCTGCCGCTATTTCAAATCGAACGCTTAACCAAAACTTACGATATGGAAGAAAGTTTGTAGAAAAATACTCGCGTTTTAGGTACTTTGTATTCATGCATTTGTTCCTTCTTAAGCAATGTGCTATGACTGACAAAATTTTTCTTCATACTAGAACTTTTGCTTTGTTAGCAAAATGGCCCAACAGAAGACTCAGACGTTTGAAGACAAACTGGCGCTTATTCGAAGCCTCCCCTAATTGAACAACCTTTGTGTGGCCGGCAAACTCACCTACTTAACTATAGAGGTAAGTTGTTTGCGTAAATTCCCTAGTAACTTCTCATTTTAAGCTGCAAGGCAACGCCGTTCTGCATGCACACAGGGTTGCTTTTGCTTCCTGGGTGCCCTCACTGTGTGATAGCCTGTGTGATGCGCATACGAAAGGCCAGAATGCAATGCTTAAGTGGCCAACAGTTCCTTCAGAGTACTAGCTCATTGTATATTGTAACTGCATTCTAGAGTCGCTACACCATTGATAGATTATATTTATACAGTCCAGCTTAAAGTCAACGAAGCGAATGAGGCTGGCCTGATTGTGCTGTCGCAACAACTCGAAATGCCGCAAGTGGAAAAGTGGGCGGTGGGTATTATGACCGCCAGGTAAGTGTTTTTGCGTTATCGTTGGATCGCAGGCTGAATTCTGAAAACATTGCGAATACCTGGGTGCTTGCACCGTTTCTGAAGTGTCAAGTTAAGGGACGCCTGCCTGGATTACATGAAGGCAACCTTTGAGGCAACAGTCGCTAGAAATTTTTTCATTCAGCTGCCAGCTGACACTGTCCTGTCCCTGCTGGAGGCAGATGACCTTCAAGTGGACAGTGAAGAGACCGTCCTCAAGGCGATTGGACGCTGGGTCAGTCCACTTGGCAAAGTGGATGAAACGCGATTTCGGCACGCGGAAGCGATGATGAAGCAAGTACAGTAGGATGAAGTTGATGCCGAATTCCGATACAGCCTACAGGATGATGACGAAGGCTTTTGGAAGAAAAATTTAGGATGTGCGTAAGCTGTGGGAGCACACTTAGCTATTTGAACTATTTAAGCCGACTTCTAGGTCGTATAGGCAATTGGATTGCATCGGAGGGAAGGAGCGGAATATGTCCATTCAATAACGCAAGCCGAAAGCCACTGGAAAAAATCTGTCTGCTCGGTAGGTCAGCCACCGGAGGACAATGTTTGTTGACCCGGTTCGATGCCGACAATAACAGGTCGCAGAAGCTAACGGACGTGACGGCTGCATTGGACGCGGCCTTT